ACTTTGAATATATATTGCCACTCCCTTCTGGCCTGTCGTGTTTGTGTAGAGAAATCAGCTGAGAGCCTTATGGGGGTTCCCTTGTAACTCACTCTTTGTTTTTGTCTTGCTGCCTTTATCCTTTATCCTTCATTTCTTTATCCTTGACTCTGGCCATCTTGATTATGATATGTCTTGGTGTGGGTCTGTTTGGATTCTTCCTGTTTGGGACCCTCTGAGCCTCCTGTACTTGGATATCTGATTCTTTCTTTAGGTTTGGGAAGTTTTCAGTCATGATTTCTTCAAATACCTTTTCAATCCCCTTTGTTCTTTCTTCTCCTTCTGGAACCCCTATTATGCATAGATTGATCTTTTAATTGGGAGTGGTTCCTCTGCTTCTTCATATTGCTCATATCTCTCTGGCACTGTGACTTAAGGAGTATCAGTTATCTAGTTCTCCTGGAGACAGTGTGCTCTTAATAATTTTATCGAGAGGTCTTTGTGAGTTTGCCCTGTTTCTCAAACTCAGCTTGCTGTTTCCAGAGGCCCTCTGTTGGCGCCCTCATCTGTGCTGCTCCCAGTGGCTGTCAGCTAGCAGAGCACGCCCCCTCCTAACACTGGGCCAGGAGCTGAGCGCTTACCCGGTGGGCGGGCAGGCAGGTCACTCTCCCTCCCGATGCTGCAGTCAGATGCTGCACTTTGGGGGGAGGCAGGTGGGCAGATCGCGCCCCCTCCCAGCACCGTGGTCATGTAGCGTTCTTGGCAGGAAAGATTTTCAAAAGCAAAGGTTGTCCTACTTTATGTTCTATATTCATAGTACTCTGTTTATCAACGTCGAGGCATTAATAAAAATCAGTGTGGTATAAAAGTAGCTTCTTCAGTGAGCTACCCACACTCTTTCAGGGTCTGGGCAAACCACTTAACACCCTATGATTTGCCAGCTGGTAGCTGAGATACCAAATGAGTTTTAGCAAGAACCTAACCAGGAATCTATTACTTAAGCCACAATTGTATCTATTTATAAAGTAACAGCAGAAGACAGACTGTCTTTATATCAAATGTCACAATGCTTGCAAATAGCTTGATAAAAATGTTTGCATTCAAGCTGTTGTTTAAAAACATATTTTGCAGTTGTAACTTTAATGCAAGAGACGTTCTCCCAAAAATGAAGAGTATAGGTTCACACAGAAGACATTGGCTGGCAACATGACATGAGGTTTACAGTATGTAAAGAGAGTAGATAAATGTGCTGGGAAGGCCCTATGCTAAGACACTAACATTAATACAGGTTTAGGTTCTCCAGAGAGAGACAAAGAGCAGGAAGCAATGACATTCCCATGGTAGTGTATTCAATTTTTTAAAAATCAACTTATAACAACAGGAATTTGTGAAACAAATTAGTTTGGGGTAGTCATTCACTTTACAAATGCAATCCTACACAGTGACATAAGCAAGGTGGGAGACTAAGAAGCTCCAGGCACAGCTGAAAGGCTACATCACCCAGGCCAATGGAGAGCCAAGAAGGGATTCCAGGAAAATGGGTAGGAAATGTTGTGAGTTTTGCAGCATCCGATCATGTCCCTCCCCCAGTGTGGCATAATACTAGTGCAGTACAACAGGGAAGAAATCCCCCATAAGTTCTTCCTTGTCAGTAATTACTATAAATATAAATGACCTTAAATATAAAATAAATATATTTGAATATTTGTAGTGTAATATATTTAAAGGTAAATATAAATCAGAAGGCACAGATTGGCCAATGAATAAAACACAGGATCCAATTACACAGTGTCTACAAGAGACTTTGGATCTAAGGATACACATAGGCTAGAAGTAAAACGATGGAAGAAGATATTGCATACAAATAGAAGACAAGAAGAAAAAAGGGTGACTATACTAACATCAGACAAAATAGACTTCATGTAAAACTGTTACAAGAGACAAAGAAGGACATTATATAATAACCAATATTCAACCCATCAAGAAGCTATAACAATTATAAATATTTATGCCCCAAACCTCAGAGCTCCTAAATATAGAAAGCAAACTGTTACAAAATTAACAAAGGAAAAAGACAAACAACACAAGAATTTCAGGAGACATAAATGACTCACTTTCAATAATGAGTAGGGCAACTACACAGCAGATCAATAAGAAAATAGAGGGCTCGAATATAGATCAATAGAACCTAACAGATATATACACAGAAGACTGCCTCCAACAGCAGCAGAATATACATTCTTCTCAAGTGCACATGGGATACTCTCCAGGATAGACATGTAAGGCCACAAAACAATTCTCAACAAATTCAAGATTGAAATGATACAAGGTATTTTTTTCTGGTCACAATGGAATGAAACCCAATAGCAGGAGGAAAACAGCTAAACCCACAAATATGTGGAAATTAAACAACTCACCCTTGAACAACAAATAGGTCAAAAAAGAAGCCACAAGGGAAATGAGCAATACCTTGAGACAAATAAAAATGAAAACAAAATATACTGAAACATGATATGCAGGAAAAGCAGTGCTAAAAAGAAAGTCTATAGCTATAAATAGACACATTAAAAAACAAGAAAGATCTAAAATCAGAACCTAATTTTATACTTCAAGAAACAAGAGAAAGGAGAGGAGAACATACTAAACTCGAAACTAGAAAATGAAAGGAAATAATAAAGATTAGAGCAGAGATAAATGAAATAGAAAATAGAAAAACATAGAAAAAAAATCAGTGAAGCTAATTGAATGTTTTCTGTTTACAAAACTGACAAGCCCTCAGCTAGGTTAACCAAGAAAAATAGAGAAAAGACTAAATAATTAAAGTCAAGAAGAAGGACGTTACAACTAATGCAACAAAAATAAAAAGGAACAACTAAAGAGAGATTTGCACACCCATTTTTATAGCAGTGCTATTGACAATAGCCAAGAGGTAGAAGTAATACAAACGTCCATCGACGGATGGATAGAGAAAACATGGTATAGACATACAATGTAATATTATTCAGTCTTAAAAAGGAAGTAAATCCTGTCACATGCTAAAACACGATAAACACAGAACATGCTAAGTGAAACAAACCAATTACAAAAAGACAAACACTGTATGATTCGTCAAATTCATAGAGACAGAAAGTATACCAGCATTGAGGGGAGAGGGAAAAAAGTTGTTGTTCAATGGTTATAAACTTCCAGTTTTGCAAGATTAAAAAAAGTTCTGGGGATCTGTTTCACAAAAATGTCAATATACATAATTATACTGAACTGTATACTTAAAGATGGTTAAGATAATAAATTTTATGTTAAGTGTTTTTTACCATAATAAAAGACAAAGACATAAAATTAACTTATTTTCCATAGCGTTGAAATATGAAATTAAATTTCATAGCACTGAAAATACTCCCTTACACTTCAACTAACTTACAGGATGTTGACGGTTGCTGTGG